CTGTACTCAACAACATTTCCACAGGACTCAATTACGTACATTTACTCAAGTGTGTGTTTTTTTATTTTCCATTGGCAGACAAAATTTGCATTTGGAGATATCTTTAAATTATTTTGTTCATGACTTAGCAAGAAAGATAAGATTAACATGTGTTTGCTTTCATTTTTTTTTTGAGTGTTAAATGCTTTACATTTTAAAGAATTCAAGATACTAAAGAGTTGAATAGGCAGCATGGGATGAAAATGTAAAATATTACAATGAAATGTACAAGAAGATGGAGTCAGAAAATCAATAGGGCCGAACTCGCTCAGCATTTCTTAAGCTCAAGGAACTGAAGAACAAATTCAAACCTCAAGTTGCTATAATCTAGGATGCTTTAGGCAGAATATTAAATGATCCAAGAAGTATTAAAAGAAGATGGTAAGAATATACTGAGTCACTGTATCAAAAGGAATTGGCAGACACAGAAGAATTTCATGAAACATTTGAGCAAGAGCCTATGGTGATGAAGGAAGAAGTTCAAGCTGCTTTAAAGGAACTAGCAAAAAATAAAGCCCCAGGAATAGATGGTATCCCAATTGAGATATTTCAGCTAACAGATGTTTCCCTGGATGTGCTCACCAAGATGTGCCAAGAAATCTGGAGAACAACTGCTTGGCCAGCTGATTGGAAGAGATCTATATTTGTTCCCATCCCAAAGAAGGGTGACCCAACAGAGTGTGGAAACTATAGAACAATATCATTAATTTCACATGCAAGCAAAATTCTACTGAAGATTATCCAAAAACCACTGGAACAGCACATCAACAGAGAACTGCCAAAAGTCCAGGCTGGGTCTAGAAGGGGTCGTGGTACTAGGGATATTGTAGCTAGTGTTAGATAGATCTTAGCTGAATGCAGGGAATACCGGAGGAATGTCTGTCTGTGTTTCATTGACTCTGCAAAGGTGTTTGACTGTGTGGATCATAACAAACTGTGGCTGACTCTGAGAAGAATGGGAATCCCAGAACACTTGATCATGCTAATGTGAAACCTATACTTGGACCAAGAGGCAGTCGTCAGAACAGAGCCAGGAAACACTGCATGATTCAAAATTAGGAAGGGCGTATGCCAGGAATTTGTCCTATCTCCATACCTTTTCAACCTGTAAGCAGAACAGATTATCCGGGAGGCTGGGCTCTATGAGAAGAAATGTGGCATGACGATTGGTGGAAGATCTATCAACAATCTGCGATATGCAGATAACACAACCATACTTGCTGAAACTGAGGAGGACTTGAAGCGCTTGCTGCTGAGAGTCAAGGACTGCAGCCTCTAATATGGATTGAGGCTCAATATCAAGAAGACAAAGTTTCTCACCACTGGGCCAATTGGCAGCATCAGGATGGATGGTAAAGAGACTGAGATTGTTTACAGCTCTAGTTTGCTTGGCTCCACAATCAACACTCTTGGCACCAGTAGCCAGGAAAAGAAAACGTGTGTTGCCATGGGAAAGTCTGCTGTTAGGGACCTCTCCAAAGTACTGAAGAGAAATGCGTATGATACAGGCCATGGTCTTTGCTATGTCAGAGAGCTGGAAAATGACTAAGGAGGACAGAAGGAGAATTGATGACTTTGAGCTTTGGTGCTGGAGAAGAGTATTGAGGGTACCATGGACTGCTAGGAAATCAGATTCATCCTGGAAAGGGTTAAACAGGGCGTCTCCTTGGAGCCAAGGATTCTGAGGCTCTTTCTAACAAACATACTTTGGACATTTTGTAAGGAGGGACCGGTCCTTGGAGAGGGACATCATGCTTGGGAGGGTGGAGGGACAGCGCAGGAGAGCAAGGCCCTCTATGAGGTGGATTGATTCAGTGACTGGGGTAATCGGGATGGGCTTATCGGAGACGGTGCGATTGGCACAGGACAGAGCAGAGTTTAGGGCTGTGTTCTACATAGGGTCGCTATGAGTCACAAACGACTTGACGGCACATAACAACAAAACAAACCTTAATTCATGTTGTTTTTAACACTGATATTTGTTGACCTTAAAGTTTATACTCACTAAATGTAAGCATTGTATGCAAATGGCCCCATAAAAATGAACTAGATAAGTTTATTAATTTTTTTAAACCATGAAGAGGATATTGACTATGAAAAAAAATCATGTAATAAGTATAAGTTTTAAAAAGCTAAATATGTAATGCAATAATCCCAAATCAGGACATTAATTATATAAAATCAAGTACAAACAACAATTAGACTGTCAAAGTCACGGACGATTAACGTTCATTTTCCCATGAAAGAAATGATGCTTAAAGAATAAAACAAAAATGACTAACATGAAGAAAAGGTGTATTACAGTACCAGAAAATCCCCAAATTAATTAGTTGCGAATTAACAATTTAAAGTATTACACTTTAAAATTTCAATTTTGTTAGTATAATTATGAAGAGTATTGAATGTACCATGGAATGCCAAGAAAACAAACAGATTCATCCTAGAGAGGGTTAAACCAGGCTGCTCCTTGGAGGCAAGGATTCTGGGGCTTTGTCTGACATACTTTAGACATGTTGTAAGGAGAGACAGGTCTTTAGAGAGGGACATCATGCTGGTAGAGTAGAGGGAAGCGCAGGAGGGGAAGACCCTCTCTGAGGTGGATTGATTCAGTGACTGGGGTAATCAGATGAGTGTGTCAGAGGCAATGCGATTGGCACAGGATAGAGCGGGATTTAGGGCTGTTGTACATAGGGTCGCTATGAGTCGCAAATGACTCGACGGCACATAACAACAACAACAACAAAGTATATACCTATAAAGAAAAAAGATCCTGAGATGAAAACAAAACTCTTTAATATGTCAACTGAATAAAAAAATGCAAATATATGTATACTTTAAAAATTAACCTTTTAATGCACTATTTTTATTGATGAAATAATTTGTACAGACCTGTACTTTGCCTTACTAAGACAACCAGATATCTTGCACTGAAGAAATAATGGAATTTTTTTAAAGCTTAGTTGACCTAATTATGTGTACAGACAGATTTTTTTCCCCCCAAAATCAACATTATATACTTACTTATTGCTTTAATGGTAAATCAGGAACTCTGCTATTTAGGCAAAAATTCTTGATTTTTTTTCTCCTCAAATGACAAAGCCAATTCTTCTTTTTATTTTTCTTTATCAAGTTGACTGTTGGATTCTTGAACACGTAACTAGCTCAAAGAGAGTATTTATCAGTAAAGCTTTGTATTTTAATTGGAAATCAGATTAGAAAGAATTCTACCTTTTATAATTTCAGTCATTAAGTTAACAAAAAAAAAATGTGTATTTTATTAGCACTCCTATTGGAGAATAGTACTGAATATGCCATGAACTTAAAAAAGAACAAACAAATCTGTTTTGGAGGTAATTATACTATGAAAGAGTTCCTTAGAAGCAAGATTGGTTAAACTGTGTTTCACATACTTTGGGTACATTGTCAGAGTCCTTGTCAAAAGACAATATACTGGGAAAGGTTGCGGGGTGGGGGGTGGAGGGCAGAGAAACAAAGGCAGAGACTAGATGGAGTGACACAGTGACTGAAACAATGAATTTGAGTATGTCAGAGACAGTGAGGATGGAACAGGATAGGATGCTCTTTAGATCTGTTGTTCATACAGTCACCATGAGTCACAGTTGACTCAACTGTATCTAACAACTACAACAACAGCAGCTTTATTTCAAACGGGATGTCGTTGTAAGAGTATCAGATTTGGCTATATATTTTGACACAATATCCACAAGGAACTCTGGAACTGTAACTTTCCACACTATATCAATTGTGCATACGTTTATTCAGCAGTTTGAAATAAAACAGTAGACTTCAGAATAGTTAAGTAGTTTATGCGGGAAAAGTAAAATTTTTTTGAGAAACACTGATATGTATTGATCCTCTCACTAGTGGGGTCAATTCATCTTGAAGCAATTATTAAAAATGTAACCATGATAAATTCTTTACTATGCATAAACTTAAAATGCAAATCTAAAATAAAATGTGCTTTTTGTGAGCAGTTTATAAAGGGAAATGAAATGTTGATAAGTTAATTGCTGACAAAATTAATATAAGACTATTTCCGAGAAGAATCATTTTTAAGCATTATTAGACATAATAAGCATTAAGTAAAATGTTTAATAATAGTATTAGAATATTGCTGTTTTGCTTCTAAATTTGAAACATCCTAAGTAATTTGGAGGTGCAATTTATTAAAAAAAACTAGCATGGTTACTGTATACAATTGCAGTGTTTAGAAAGTTAGAAACACACTAGACAACAACACAAATATCAGAACTGGATATGGGAGATTCACATTTAACATTTAAAAGTCAACTTCAAGGGTTTGGGGTAGATTCTCTTTGTGACATGTTAATGTATACTATTAAAACAAATCAACAATAAAAAGCTTCCTCTTAGTCTTATATAACAAATCAAATGCAGTACACTCCATTCAGCTAAATGAAGAATCTATGATTCCATAGTGGTGTAGAAAATGAAAATGTGAATTACTTGGCCGAAATTCACAAGATGGGAAGAATCATATTTGAAAAGAGCAAAGATTCCCATCTGTGAGATGAAGAAACATCAAAATTCTCTGGTCTCCTGCCCCACACTTTCTCATCCACTGTGGAAATGTGCTCTCCCATATTAAACAAAGGAGATAAAAAGTGGGTGTTCATGAATGTTGGAAGCTTAGAGACAAGACAATCAAATATCATGTGGAGAAAGAACAAAAGACAGTATTTAACCCAGACACTAAGAACCAATGTTGGGCACATTACTTAACCTTCTGAACCTTTTTCCATCTGTCAAGTAAGGACAATAACATACACCTTAAAATCCATTGTAAGGATTAAAGAGTATAGTAAATAGGTGCTATATTAAAAGAAAATTTTCCTCCCATTTCTATGCTATACTTGGTTTCAAACAGCAATGTTTGTATTTCTCTAACGATGCTTTCTAATTGTTTTTTTCTCCTACAGATAAGAGCCTCAATGCAGTCATTTCCCCCAAGCCCACAATTTTCCTTCCTTCATTTGAGGAAACTACGCTTCACAGTGCTGGAACATATCTTTGTCTTCTTGAGAATTTTTTCCCTGACGTTATAAAAATAAATTGGAAAGAAAAGAACAGCAATACAATACTGGAAGGCCAGCAAGGAGATGTCATGAAGACTAACGACACGTTCATGAAATTCAGCTGGCTGACTGTGACAGGAGAGTCACTGAATAAAGACCACGAGTGCCTGGTCAAACATGAGAGCATTAAAGAGGGAAAAGAGATTCCCTTTCCTTCAGTAAAGAAGCTGCTAGAGGATCCGAACTGGCAGAGAGGTGGGCTGTCTGGGTTAGAAAAACACCACCCTGTGAGCTACACCACCAATGCTCCCTCTTCAATAAGCAGGGGTATGTAAAACTTTGTAATGAAAAATAATGCCATTTTCTTCTGTGAGAGGTTAATGGGAAACACCGAGACCCTCCACAGACATTTAGGGGGACATAGTGTGATCGATGAGGGAACTCTAATGGTATAGTCTATAGGGTAGTGGGCTGTTCACCAGAAAGTGGTACCTCTCTGACAGTTTGAATCCCCCAGTGGACAATCATCTCTCTTGTGATTTATACCCTAAAAATCTGCTGGAATGTCAGCTATAAGAACATAACATAAAAGCAACCTGGTTCAACAAAGGATTATAAACTGGAGATGTTGTAGTTTTTGTATGGCCCCAGATTTTTCAGAATCAGTTCAGACACAGCACAACCCTTCAATGGGTTCTCAGCCTATAAATCCTTATGGGAGAGTCTGCCCGTATTTCTCTCTTGGATAAGCTAATAGATTTGAATTGACTGACCCTTCAGTCAACAGGGTTGTCTGTGTCTATGAAAATGCTTATATTTGGGGGTAGGGCGTGGGGTTTGGGGAGGTGCGGGGGGATTGTGTACCAATGAGGGAGTTTTTATTTTGCTTTTCAAGGAGAGGAGCAAATGCGGGGCGGGGGGAGAGGAAAGGTCATAGCCAGCCTTGGAAACTCGGTAGAGCAGCTGTGCTATGCACACATGAGGCTGCCATGAGATGGAATCAACTCAATGACAACTAACAATAGTATGTAAAACACACTTAACATTCTACATGAGTGCTTTGTGCAACTAATAAATACATTTCAGTAGACATCCATCATGCAACTAGTATGTGGGAGCCCTGGAGATTATCTATGGGTCAATAGACTAGGATAAATTAATGTCTCAAGAAAGATATACTACAGAAAAGGGGAAGGACTCTTTCCTTTCACACTAGATTCAAGTATGATGCCCCAAATAAGACACTTTGATGCAGATTTCATGCATATGTAGACGGTATAGATTCAGGGTTGAGTGTGGCCTGGCCCTACCAGAGCAAGGACCTGATAACTCACTATTCTCAAAGACCTTGATATTCTCGACTTAAAAAAACAAAAGCACCAGAATGTCAAGGTTAGATAGAGGCATGTTGTTTCTGTTGATTGGCATCGAGTACAGCACAACTCATAACGACCCTATGAACAAAAGGCCTGAAGCCTTTCTCTAACTATTGCCATTTATCAAAGTTC